TTCATCAACAGAAACAAAATTTCGCCTTTAAAGTTTGTATGTATGCTTTTAATTGTGTGATAAAGATAATTATATTTTAATTTTTAAATCTCTGAGAGCTCTATTAAATGATTTTATGACATAAAATTTTTCCGCTTCCGTTCTGTTAAGCCTAGTTCGAACTCGTCTTTATTCTCTTTGTGCTGCGCGTTTGTTTGATTTACAAACTAATTTTATCTTATACATTCTAAATTATTGATTCTTATTTTATATTGTATTGTAAAAATAAATTAACTGTCCCTTATGTGTACCTTATTTTACTGTAATTATAATTTTAGTTACTGAATAGCAAAAATGGTGGCAGCTGCTTTAAATCAAGCACTGTAAAAGAACATTAATTTTGCGAAAAACTAGTTCCGAGAGTTATGCATCGCGTTTCCCTACACCACTTTGGTGTTAAGTTGTTGCCTTATTCTTGGCGTTGAGATAAACTAAAACAATTTTTTCAACGTAGAACAAAGTATCTTCGTTTAACTACATAGAGAAAAATTATCCATTTATAGTGAAAATTAGACTAAAATTGTTGACTTTTTTCATCCTACTAATTATTCCATCATATCATCCTTTTTTCTGACTATGGTATTTCAATACAATCTATATATTATTAATCCCACAACAATAACTCTGCATTTTTTATTAGTTTTGAAACAATCTTGAACTATTTTCATACATTTTATGAAATGCGCATGAAATATTTCATTCCAGCGTATATACCTATATACATAAATAACAAAAAGAAATTTTTGCTTATCCGTTTTTCTGTGTTTCTTTCTTATAGCTCAAAAATCACTTATGATATCATCCTGAGCCGTGGTGGCTCAAGGATAGAGCATTCGCCTTCCTATAAGGAGAACCGGGTTCGAATGCCAGTGATAACTGGTCGATGCGAATTCCGCACTCTTCTCCCACCGACCACAGTGATGACCTAAAATAGCCTCAATGGTAGACGGATCATAGATTAGAGTCCCCCTCCCGTCAAGCAAACTGCGGAAAGTTCTCATGGTTTTCCTCTCAATGTAACGCAAATGTGGGTTAATTCCATCAAAAAATCCTCCGCAAAGGCAAATTTCTCCCAATACTTGATCCAGGAGTTCCCTTGTCTTCTGGAATGGGTTCAAAATTACAAAGCTACTGAATTGAACAATAGTAGTCACAAACCCAAACAATTGGGTCGGCTGTTCAACGACGGTTATAAAATTATAAAATAAAATATGATATAATCCTGAAATTTAGGCAAGGCATTAAGGGGGCAATTTTAGCCCCCAATCATGTAAATCGTTCAAATATTTTATTAAAGCTTTCGAGAGGGTTGTTTTAAAAATGAATATTTTGAATAGGATTTAGAATTATTACGAACTAAAATGCAGACGTCTTTTCTTTTCAATTATTTAAAAGACTAGTGAGCTTTGCTCCTACTCTATGTTTTTTACCAAAACCCGAAACTACTTACGTAGTTCCTTTTAAATTTTAATATTATTTGCTGTCTGGTTGCTCAGTAGATAAAGACGCCGCTGACACAGCTGAAAGGAGAAGCTGAGAGGTAGTGAGTTTAATCCTGGCTGCCCACAAAACAATCAGCGTGTATACCCAGCAATGTGCATATTCGATCTGTCGTGGCTGAAAGTCCTCTCATTGGTTGTGGAGTGGAAGTTTGGAGAGATGGCTACCAGCTCAGTCACTATCCATGTCGTCTGAACAGGATCAAAGTGGAGAGGCTGAAAGATAGAGCCCTAAAAATTGGGCTATGTGCTCGGCAATGATTGCGCAATGCCTGAGTAATCTCCTTTCAGATCGCTTCGCACACTTTCTTTTATCCTGTTTAATACTGCAACTTCTATACTATAATATAAAACAAAAAGTCTTTCTTTCAATTACTCCTCCAATGTTATAATTAGATTAACAATTTCTCCTCGTCTAACATAGTATTGCTAGCAATTAAGTATTTAAATTTACTGTAATTATTTTAACATCAAAAAATCCAAATAGCCGCCAATAAAAACTCTTTAATTACTTCAAAAGTAATTCAAAATTTAAGCAAAATCAGACGTTCGTTTATTTTCAGACATAAACGTACAGTATTGAAGAACAAAACAAAATATACAGTTTCCCTACTAATGGTTTTGGCAAAATTCAATTACATTAAAACAAAATCTTCTCCTACGACCCAAAATTACTCAAAAAACTAATCACTACACCAATAATGTCTTTATTTCAGAATGTTTTAAACTTTTCTATATAAGTGCACGAAATTTCACATTATTTGAAATGTGTTTGAGTCTTAAAAATAAGAAGTGCACTCGGTGAAAATTTTCTGATACAGCGACGATGGTGACGGCAAGAGACGTTATTTTCTTTCTCAATATAACAAGATACTATCAATAATATTTGTTAGCTTACAGCTCTGTTTCATCAAAATCGGAGTTTACTGCATGCGTTTTAAGAATCAATTCTCCTTTTATTCGTAGAAATCAGGCTTTCTTTAAAGTTTTAACTGTGCTCAATTTTAAAATTTTAAAAAAAGAAGCTATTTTTCAAGATTATGATTATTTAAATCACAGAAAACTGCTTATCACGCTATAGGGATATATTTCTTCTTCAACTGTCGTACAACTTTCTCTTTTTGCCCTCTTGATGGATAAATGCTTCCTCCTTCTCAGAATAGAAAGGTATTGCCGCACACGCAACTGATCTTCATAAATAAATATTTTCCATTTCCATAATAATACAAATCCCATTTCATGAATGTCATTAACATGCCCTCTGCTGTTTAGGCTTAAAATAAATCATAACTGATCATTTTCACTCTTTCTAAAACTCCTACTAATCTCTAAAGAAAGAAATTAAATTATTTAAGCGTTCTTCTTTTTGTATTTTTCATTTTGTAAATGAGAAAAGATTGCTATCATGGGGTTGTTCAAGAGATTGGGACCCTTTTTAGTTAACTCCATACCCCTTCTTTGTCAATTCGCTTACATTTTCATAACCAACATTAAAAACAAGAAGAATGAGAAATGATATCGATTGGTGCTTCACTGTTTTACCATTTTTATCTAATTCTCTTGATAATGTAAGTATATTTATTACTATAGCTTGATATTTTAGACGCATTAAATTTTTATAGTTAGTATTCTAACCTACTCCAAATAATGCTTTAAGTTTACCACATTTTCTTTTTTTTTTACTTTATTTTGAGGAAATAAAAGAGTTAAAAGTAATATCAACTCGACAAATCTAATCATTTTGAGAAAGAAAAAAAATTTATAAACATTAAATTTTCTAAAAATCATAAGAAAATAGATTAATGTATCAATACTTTCTCTAAGTATGATTTGACAATATATTTGACATTAATTATGTGGCGCAGATATGCAATGACTAAATAATAAAAATGGTTAAATTATGAAAATTTGAACTAAATAAAAGGAGGAAAAAAATAATTCGATTAAATATAAATCAAATCAAAGATGAAAATTAAAAATATGATAACTTATAACTGTTACTGTTTAATTGCTGAAATTCAATAAAGATTTTCATCATACATCTATAATTTCATTACTGAATAGTTTCTGAAGTGAAGAAAAAGTTATCAAACTAAAATGTAAATAAAAATTCTTGATAATGCAGGACTGTTACAGATTTCATAATTATAAATATATTTTAAACAAAAATATAAAATTGATTATTGGATTAAATATAAATCGTATCAAAGATTATAATTAAAATTTAGGTAATAAATCTACCGTTTTCGGACAGATACTCTGAAAATCAAATAAAATTTAAGATAAAAATTATTAAACACAAATTTAAAACAATTTTTTTCATTCTATTGAATATAAAACAAATTTACATTCAGCAAAAGTGGACGGGAAAAAAATCTGGGGCAAAATTACCGTACTGAATAGTAACTCGTGTGCCTGAATTTCACGAATATTTACCGGCAAGGTTTGAAAATACTCGAAAATTCGCGCATGAAATTATTTCCATGTTTGGAAGTACTTATCAGTGAGATCAATTATTTTCTGTGATGAATGGAAATAAATCTCCTGTCCGAAACCGTATTAATAACGCTCACGTTGGGTCAATTTTGAAAGTAGTCTCGGACAAAAGAATTTCTCCCGAAATAGGAAAGATAGTAGCAGAGAAGAGATGTCAAGTATCAAACAATAATTTAACTTTATATATGTTTCTTACAATGTGCTATTCAAAATAAAAATATTTGTTTCTATGAACAAGGATTTTTTTTTGTGGCCCACTTATAGTTAAGCATTGTTTATTTGGCCCAAGTTAGCTTTTGAGTTTGACACCCCTGATATAAGGCATTGATAAATCATTCATTTGGTAATTGTTCCGTTAATATGACAACAGCTTACCGGGAATTCTGGTTTTCAAAGTTATAGTTTTTATTACCAAACGTTTAGTGAAACAATAGGAAACTAAAAATTAAATTTAATCGAATAAATGGCTTTTACTCCAGGCTCTAAGAAATAATGATAAAATTACCAATTTCTGCCACGTTTACAAAATTTTATCATAGATTAAAAGTACTATATTTTATGGTTTTTTTAACCAAAACCATTACCTCATCGGTAAAAATTACCCAACTTTTAGTGTTCCCATACATCCAGGAACACGATAAATTTAACCATAATCTGGTAGTTTTGTGCCATACTTTTTCTCACTGTGTGTTGCTGTTTATTGCTGAAATACTTAAATGGTAATATTTAGACGAACAATTTCTATTATTTTTCTCTCCATTTATTAGTAATTTTCAAATTGTCCTGTTCTTGTACAAACACAAAGAAACTAAACAAAAAAAAAGTTTTAAAAAAATTGACATAGTTTTATTTTTGTGACAACTGTGGAATTCCGGATCCTAACGAAAAATCTTCTCAGATAAGATTAGCGGAAAAGCTATATAATCCTTAAATCGACGCGCCTATCAATTTTCTTTTTTATGTGGCTGAGAAAAATTGAAGAAAAAAAATTTCTGTCACCAAAGGTGTTCTCTCAGTGGGACATTCCGTAAATATGAGGAAGGTTGTGGAAATAATTTTATATTTTTTACTATTTCACCAAGTTCAAGGCCACGGAAGATTACTTGAACCACCCTCTAGGTCTTCCATGTGGCGTTTCGGATACAACAGCCCTCCCAATTATAACGACAATGAACTTTTCTGTGGTGGAATCTATGTAAGTATTTAATGGATTAATCCCATTTCATGAATGT